AAAGAGAAATGTAACATTATTTGAGTCAAGTATTGCTTGGATTAGACAATGCCTTGCTTCATGATGTTCCAAGTGGTAGTGTAAAGCTCACAGTCAGCAAGATGGTGGGACCATGACTGTTGGTAAATACTCCCTGCCAGACAACCAATGCCAGCCTTCTGTAATTCTGTATTATTTGCAGGTGATGCCTTTTCTATAAGAAGCTGGCATGGGATTATGGACCGAAAACAAGATTTGTAGATTGACGTAGTTCCAATGTTCTGGTTTAGTTAACCTCTTTGAGACCATTTCTCACATTTGTTATATTGGAGACATTGATATCCATCTCAACAAATGGGGTAAAGGATTAATATTTGAGAAAACACCTGTTATGGTCAGCACATTAGGATGGCAATGCTCAATACTCACTGACTTTTATTCTTTGGCATTATCTAGAAACCTCCTTAAATTTTTTGTTAGCATTTTGCCACCAAGATTATAAAAAGGTCACGCTCTGCAGATATATATGGAAAGAGTTGATTATGGGTCATGTTCCTAGAGGAGGGATCAGATCTGAATAGTGGGGAATAGAGTGGTTAGGAGCGCAGCCTGGGGTGACAGACCAGTCTTGATCTCTGGCCACCACAAACTAACGATGAGCTCTGAGGCAGGTTGCTTTACTGCTCTTCATTTTCTCATTTGTAAATGGGAGGTAATAACACACCCAATTATGGACTTGTCATTGGTAACTAATTCAGGTATTGTCAGTATGGAGCCTAGGGCTGTGCCTCACATGGAGCACATGCTCTGTAAGTTACAGCTGATGCTCCTGTGGGTGTTTTCATTTTAATAATCAGTTCATTGGCTATGTAACTAAGTTATCAACCCAGGACCTGTTAAAATTATAATTATAATAATTACTGCAACCGAATCCTTGAATTAAAATTACATGCTCCTACTTCTCTATAATATTCCTTCTGTAATTAAACATGCATTAAAATACATGAGAACTGAGGATAGCAGGAAATGTCATGACATACTTCTCACAGGAAGCTGATCATTATTACAGCTCTATTTCCTGGAGTCACCTATATTTACTTATATTCTTATTATTCACACATTGTATGAGAGATAGTCTACCTCTTTGACTTAGAAACATTATAACAAAAAGTATATTTAGGATTTCAAACATAAATATATTAGAGGCCCGATACATGAAATTCGTGCAAGGGGCTCGGCCCCCACCGTTGTGGCGGCTGCCTCTATCTTGGCCCCCACCCACTGTGGCTTCATCTGGAAGGTCATCTAGAAGGACATCTGGTCTAATTAGCATATTATGCTTTTATTATTATAGATGCT